ATCTAATCCAAACATTAAATAATGCTTTCCTGACAATGTGGTTTTTAAATGCTTTGTGTGCTTTGACCTTATCATACCATAAATATGCATGCCATCCAAATACATTATTGAAACCTTCCAAATCCAAAATGTCAGTGTTTTCAAGAAGTAGCCATTCTTTCAACCAGCAAAAAGCTGCTGATTCATAGTAAAGTTTGAGGTCTGGCAGGGCAAATCCACCTCTTTCCTTTGCATCTGTTAGTATTTTAAATTTTATTCTAGGTTTCTTGCCCTGCCAGACGAATTTAGAAATATCTTTCTGCCACCTCTTGAAACAGTCCACTTTGTCAACAATCTGCAAAGTTTGAAACAAAAACAACATTCTAGGCAATACATTCATTTTTATCGCAGCAATACGGCCTAGCAGTGAAAGCTTCAAGTTTGACCAAATTTCTAAATCTTTTTCACTTCTGACCAACATTTTTCATAGTTGTCTTTAAATAAATTCCCATTTTTGCTGTCATATTAATCCCCAGGTATTTAACTTTCTTAACCACTGTTAACCCTGTCTCATTCTGAAACCTCTCTCTTTCAAACGGTGTTAAATTTTCTCTAAAACCTTGGTTTTTAATTTGTTCAATTTAAATCCTGCCACTTGACCAAATTCTTGAATCAGTTCTAAAACCCTTTTTGTACTAGATTCTGGCTCCTGTAACGTCAATACTAAGTCATCTGCAAAAGCTCTCAATTTATAGTGTTTAGTTCCGACCTGTATACCTTTAACCAACTGGTCCCTTCTAATCATGTTCAGCAACACCTCCAGGACCGAAATAAAAGAAGAGGGGAAATTGGGCACCCTTGTCGTGTCCCTTTTTCAATTTTAAGTTCTTCCGTCACAACGTTATTTACAATTAGTTTAGCCTTTTGTTCAGAATAAATTGCACCTATACCATTCTCAAAACCTTGGCCTACCCCCATACCCTGAAGATTCTTCTTCATAAAATTCCAAGAAATATTGTCAAAGGCTTTCTCCGCGTCTACAAATATCAACACTGCTTTAGTGTTTATATTCACTTCTAATTTTTCCAAAATATCAATTATATTCCTTAGGTTATCAGACAAGTGTCTTCTTGGGAGAAAGCCCGCTTG